CACCTGGCAGACGGGTTAACAGTGCGTAGTGGGCCTGACAGCCAGAAAGCAGCCAGATGACTAACAAAGCCTCATTTTCCCCCCACATCTTCTCAACGATGGTGCTCCCCTATCGTTGGCGTGGCACTGCCCAGGGAACCACCTGCACCGGTACTCCAAGGTCCTTGAGGCCCGGCTGGGAGGTCCAGAGCCACGGGCACTGCCAGCCTGTCCGCACCTGTCGTGGGCCAAGCCGCAGCCTTTAAATGAGACGGCTCCCAGGTTGGTGCTTTTCCACTCCTTCTGCTGGGTTTATGATTCATTGCCCTTTTTCTTTTTTTTAATAAGAGGGAATGGAATTTTACTGACATCATTATGGAGTAATCAAATCTAGCTTGTCGTTTTGTGATGGTTTTTTAAATTAGCAGGCCCCCATGTTGACCTTTAGAACCATGCTCCCTGGTGGTCTCCACCATAAAAAGTGCTTTGGGTAATTAGTCTTCCGTTCGGTTTGATTGGGTCTTGCTTAAAAAGCTGTGATCTGCCAGTAATGTCACTGGAAGGGAAGCTCTGGCTCCTTCAGTTTGGGACTCAGGAGTTCAGTGTTCCCTGTGTGTGCTGTTGATTCTAAAATACAGACTGGGTCTTTGTTTTGTCAGACCAGGGGGTCGAGACTTGGTAGGGAAGCTGAGTTCTGGCTCGGAGCTAAGCTGGGGTCACATTTGTGCCCTCTCCTTGTGCTGAGTGTTGTCTCTGGTAGAGTGACATTATACCATGACAGGCCCAGACATTGTTGATCTGCCTGCTTCTCCATTGAATACGATCTCTTCACTTGGTCATTTCCTCTCGGAAGCCAAAATTTGAGTGACCACTGCTATTTCTTTTTCGAGCAGGGCAGCCAGCTCAGCCTGCTGGTTCCAAGTTGTGTCCAGATTGCTCCCTCTCCCCGTTTCTTTCTCTGGAATCCCTGATCCCAGCGGGACAATACCCTGCTCTGGCGCGATTGGGGATCCTGGCACTGTAACTCAGGGGCTCACGTCCTGGGCACGGCTGTGGAAGCAGCACACCACCCCTGTCCAGTGGCGCTGCAAGACACTGTCCGCCCACAGGCTGCACAACCCATGCACGTGGCAGATTGCCCTTGAGGGAGACTCCTGCCTTCTCTCCCCCACCAGCCTGCCTACTTGCTTGGGTCTCCGTGTGTCCAGGTATTGGGTGGCCAGGAGGTGTGTCGTGGGGACAGAGAGCCACCCTCTACACTGTGAGCCATGGAGAGGAGGATGCCTGCAGGGGCCGCAAAGCTTCCTCAGCCTCACTGTTGTCATGGACGGAAGCTCTGAGTGCATCACTCACTGACACGTCTCCTTCAGAACACGCTCGATCGGAAACAGAATTGCAGGAGTGTCACATTGTCTTCTCATCAGTTTTCTTCCCGAGACTTTAATTACTGAGTACTTTTCCATTCCAGTTAACATGCCATCATTTCAAAATTTCTGATAAGAGTCCATGTTTACATCCCATTTATTTATAACCTGTCATTATCCTAGTATTCAAACCAGGCTTTAACTCCAGCCGCGGTCAGCAGTTTGTACTGGGTGGACAGTTGTTGGCAGAGATTCCTGAAACCCAGTTATTCTCCAGGGTGCAGCTCAGGACTCTGAGAAATAGAGAACAGTGTCCTTGGTCTCTGCATGTCCACATCAGACAATACATCAAGTACCAACCTGGCCCATCAATGATGCTGATGATGTGTAGCTCCTGGAATTGGATTTTCACCATCATGCTCAGGAATTCCTTCTTCTAGTACACCCACCAGACTTCACCTTTATCTCACATCTCACATCTCGCATCTCACATCATGTTGGAAGTTATTCTTAGTCCTCAGCAACCTAGATCTGGGACTAGATTCTGAATCTGCAGAACTGTGAGACAGTGCTGGACAGCTCCAGGCAGCCCTGGAAAGGCTCAGTGCTGAGTGTGGGTGTGTGGTCCATCTCTGAAACAAGATGCACTTCCTGATGTCCTTAGTCATCAGGTGTCCATACTCAGAGCAGCTGCTGTCAGACCCACAAGGAGCCCCTGGGCAAGGCCAACCTTCTGCCCTCCCACTGGGACTGTGAAATTCTCAAATGATAACGTAGTACGCTGTCACCACCACTGCTCAACTAGAAAGGGCCACTGCCAGATAATTCATTTCCACAACAGGAGAGCAGCTGTTAGAATTAAAATACAGCTGCATATGTATATTCACCTACAGGGTTAAGTGTCATTGATTCCACAACTTAACATCGTCAGTTTAATTTTCAGACTGATTAAACCTGAAATGTAAAGTGAAATCATATAAAACAGAATAGGTTATAATACTCATAGGCATTTTCCAAGCAGTTACCCAGCTGGACAGACGCGATAGTAGCTTATCTCTTTCCTACTCAGAAAGCCTCTTTACAGACCCAGCTCTCCCAGCTCCCTGCTGATCTTCATCCTGATTGCCAGTAGAACTGAACATCTTGGCTTTCACTTGGCCAAAGTAAGAGATATGCCAGCAACTTGCTAAGGAGTAAGAAGCAAAGTGGAAAAATGGGAAACTCATAATTTGCAAATAAGTTTTATTCCTTTCCCGCATTTTAGCCAGAACAGTCTTCAGATTTTCCATCTACTTTGTTTGCTCTTATCTCAGTGTCCTCCCAAGCCGTCTGCTGCTCTTGGCGGCTTGCCAGCCCCTCTCTTTCAGTTATCACTTGTGTTGGCCTGAACAGGTTCTTCCGATCTCAGAATTAGTAGTAAGAATAACGGTGCTATCGTAGGAGTCCAGTACATTTTGCAAAGCACATCGTGGCCCCGCAGGCAAGGCAGATGTGTATTCCTTTATTCCCTAGTTTGTTTCTCTCCATAGCTCGGTCACTTGTGTGTCTGCCTTATTCTCGGTCCTGACAGTATTGTCCTTAAGGACAAAGGTGATGGCTGCTCCTGGCACCAGGTCCACCCCCTTTGCTACATTTGTTTGCATCTGTCTCTGCTGCCTCTTGGCAGAGACCTCTGTGCTCCTTCTGGCTGGGCCATGAGCACTCAAACTGGCCTCAGCTTCTGCACCCCCGAGTGCCTTTCGGAAGGTAACGTGCAGTCTCCTCTCCTGCTGCTGGGTCGTGTTTCCGGCATAGGCAGTGTTAGAAACCCACTAGAACTGACCCCTGGTTCCCATTTTGGGACCTGGAAGCAGTCCCTCCAGTTGTTGGCAGTTGGATTTAGGTAGATGTGGATGGGACATCATTTCCTATTTCTGTTTAAATCATTTTCTGTTTCTTAGGTATTGGCTCAGCTTCCTGGGCTAGTACAGTTGCTTACTTTTATTTTGTTTGAATCCGTTTTCCTGAAGTAATCTTTGGAAACATCAGAAGTTACTCTCCATCGACCTGGACAAAGTGGTGTTACCCAACTTTCGATCGAATCGCCCTCAAGTGAGACCCTTGTCTCCCGGAGAGAGTGGTGCCTGGGACATTCCCGGAGGTCAGTTCTTAAATGCTTTACAATTGGGCCGAATCTTACTATGGTTTGTTCAGACTAGTCTCCCTCCCTCCCCTAGGAGGTGGGCCAGACCATTCCCGCCTTTGCCTTCCTGGGAGCCATGGTGGTTCTGGCTTTCTTCGTGGTACAAATCAACAGGCTTAAAAGCATACCTGAAGGATTAACACATCGTTGTCTCTCAGAAAATCCTACATGGATTTTCAGATTTGAATTCCCTTTATGTTGGCTGGCTGTCACAGTCTGGCCCCTGAACTCTCAATCCAGAGGTCTCCACCTATTCTCTGCCCTGGCCCACTTGGGGTGGAACTTCCCTGGACTGAAATTCTCAGTTAAATGCGGAGGTGTCCTTCATCCCAGGTGACATCAGATGTTCCCTCCAGGGATAATGGGTTTTGCCTCGACAGGACTATCTGAGGCAGATTGTGCCTTACCTGGGATGATCAGACCAAGTCATTCCAGCAGAGTGTGGGCGCCTCTCCTGCTCTGGAAATCCCTGTGCTCTTGCAAGTGTATAGCTCCCCGGGGGCATTTCTCCCTGGTCCAGGAAGTGGCCAGAAAGTCCAGGGATCAGGAAGGGCTACCTCAGCCCACGTGGCCCAACCCTGGGAACGGTGTCCTCATGTCAGGCTCCTGAGGGCCTTCTTGCAGGTCATGGGGTGCACTGATGGTGATTAGTTCTGGAACCCCAGCATTGCCCAGGTACAAAGCCCTATGACAGTACAAACCAAGTGTCCTCCAATGGCCACTCTCAGTTTCCAACCACAAGTTCCATGTGTGGAAGGCTTTCTCAGTGGCGGGGGTGTGCCCAGCACCTCGCCTCTCTGCCAGGCCGCCTCCCTCTTACTCCCGTCCGGCTAGTGTGACACTAGCCCCCCTCCCCACAGCATCAAGACTTATCTACTGTTCATTGTTTTTATGAAAACAGAAGTGGTGCATCCCTGTCGTGGGTTGTCTGTGGCAGAAGAGAGGCCATCCTGGTTTCTGAGGCGAGCATGGCCCACCCCCGACTCTCCCAGAAAGCCTCTCATCCAAGTTTAACTGCCTTTCTCTCTCATTCATCCTCTGGGTCACTTCAGCTAAGGTTTAAAAAATGTGTCTGGCCTGCAAGCCCAGCTGGTGATGTTGGTTAGCATTGCGTCTCCGACGAGTCTGCCCTCCGAGGACAGAGGCTGCGGCCGTGCAGCTCTGTGGCGTCCTGATCACCCCTCCGCTGTCCCCTTGCAGGGATCATGCCTGGCCGCTACAACCAGGAGGTGGGCCAGACCATTCCTGTTTTTGCCTTCCTGGGAGCCATGGTGGTCCTGGCCTTCTTTGTGGTGCAGATCAACAAGGCCAAGAGCAGGCCGAAGCGGAGGAAGCCCCGAGTGAAGCGCCCACAGCTCGTGCAGCAGGTTCACCCGCCCAGGACCCCCTCGGTGTGACGGCTGCTGTGAGCCAAAGGGCCTTTGCTGATGGCCATGGCGGGCAGGTGGGGCTGTGGGGTTTCCAGGGGCCGCTGGCTTGGAGGGGCTCCAGCCTTCAGCTGGATGCATGGGGCGTCTTCGAGCCATTCTGAGCAGACCTGCGCCGTGCAGTGAGCGGACTCGCAGTGTGCCCTGAAGTGCGTCAGGGCTGGGGCTTGGGAGGGTCAGCCCCGAGGGAGGCGCCACCGGCGCCACGGCACCAAAGACTCGGGGAACTTCTCGAGGCATTGGGTCTCCTGCCCCGATGGGGAGGAAACAGCTCTGACCAAGCTGAGATATGTTTGATAAAGGCTATTTTCTATATTTATTGTTGGGGAAAAGTCACTTTAAAGACTTGTGCTGTTTGGAAGCAAAGATATTTTTTTGTCAGTGGAATGCAGATTTTTACTATGACATCATGAGGAATAACACAGATGCCATGATCTCCTTTTTAATGAAAGGACAGACTGAGATTTGAAGGAAACTTGCACAAATCTGTGAAACATAGCCCTTCGCTTTATTTTTATAAGTATCAACTGCCATCATGTTTTGTAATTTGGGTCTTGATCTCACCATTGTCGGTGAAGAAAATTTTCAATAAATATGCATTACCTGTATGACGCTAAAAATGAGTGTGTAACGGGCTCTTTCCATCTGTCCGTTTCTCTGTGATGACAGCCTGAATCAGCCTGTTAAATCCATTTTTTGAGATATAATTCACATACAAAATTCTCCATTTACAAGTGTACTATTCAATGGTTTTTAGTGTAATTCACAAGGTTGTGCAACTGTTACCCCTATAATTTCAGAACGTTTTCATCGCCTCCAAAATAAACCTCATACCCAGTAGTGAGTCAGCCTCTGTTCTCTCCCCGCAGCTGCAGGCAGCCGCAGTTTGCTATCTCGGAACATTCCATGTAAATGGATGGCACAATATGTGGCTTTTGGGGGCTGACTTCTTTCACAGTGTGTTCTTGCGCTTCATCCGTGTTGCAGCCGTCTGAGTACTTCATCCCTTCCTGTACCTGAATAACACCATCCTACGATGGACTGTACTTAATCTGTTCCTCAGTTGATGGACATCTGAGCTGTTCCCACCCTTTGGCTGTTGTGAATAGCATGGCTGTGAGCATTCGAGTACCACTTTTGGTGTAAACATATGTTTTCACTTCTGTTGGGTAGACACCTAAGAGTAAACTCCTATAGTGTCATGCCTCACTGTTTGAGGAGCCACCAGACTTTTCCCCAAAGCTTCCATACCACTTCACGTTCCCACCAGCAGGGTACGAGGGTTCCAGTTCTCCATATCCTCGCCAGCACTTACTGTTACCTATCTTTTTGATGATAGCCATCCTAGCGATTGTGAAGTGATGTCGCATTGTGGCTTGATTTCTATTTCTCTAATGAGTAATGATGTTGAACATCTTTCTGTGTGTGTAATGGCCATTTGTTTATCTTCTTTGGAAAAATAACCCTTCCAATCCTTTGCCCATTTTTAAATTGAGTTGCCTTTTTATTAACAACTTGTAAGAGTTCTTTGTGTATCCCACGTGTGAGTCCTTTATGAGCTCTATAACTTGCACATAGTTTTGCTCCTTGGTGGTAATCTTTTCACTTTACTGAAGGTATCCTTATAAGCATAAAAATTTTTCATTTTTATGAACTCCATTTGATCTATTACAGACCATTTTTAAGAAACCATTTCCTAATCTAAGAACAGTCTGTTAATGGTTAACCCCCTCTGTCCAGTCTGTTTTCTCTACTCCAACTGGCCAGACAGCAGCCTTCACATCACAGGTGAGGACAGACTGAGCGGGAAGGGCTTAGGCCATGTGGGATCATAGTGGTGACCTGGCAACTTTTAGCTGCGTTCCGTGGCCGCTCTTGAATTGAGGACTTAGAGGCACTGCTGAAGGCCCTGAAGAGCTCTCTCTGTCCCCTGGCATTTAGGCTCCTGGTGGCATGTCGTCCTCACAGCAGTCCATGGACCTTTGACGTCTCAGAACAAGGGGCTGGTGCCCTGTTTGTTCTGGAGCCTTTGGTCTCCCTGCCTACCCTCCACAGGTGTGGCCAGCTCAGCACCCACCCGGCAGCTCCGTGAAAGCTGGTGTCCCACCGGCCCAGGCAGGTCCTGGGAGTGAGGACATGGCCCCGGGGGGAGTGGGCCTTGGGCCGGGACTCGCTGGAGTGCCCCGGCCCTGTCTCGGGGACGGTGCATCTTTTGATTTTTCAAGAGAAGCCTGCAATCTGGAGAATGCAAAGTCTCTCAGGTTTAATGCTGGTGAATGATTGAATTAGAGGAACTGTTTATAAACTGGAGAGTCTCCAGCTCCACTGTAGGGCCATCCTAATGCTGTGGGCCATGTGGTTGTGAAACAAAGTTCTCAACCCCAGAGTGCTGAGCTGGAGCATTTTGGAGCGTTTAGTCTCCGCACTGGCTGCAGGCCTCGGGGAGGATACCTCATCTCCAAGATCTGTCCGCGCCTGCTGAAAGGGCCCCTCGCCTGGCCTTTGAGGTCTGCATCTATGCTTGTCACCGGCCTTCAGGACCGGCCCTCCTGTTCCCGTTGCTGCCCTACCTGCTTTCCAGAGACCAGCTCCCCCTCTAGCTGGTGGAGCCCCTGGCCCAGCATCGAGCACCAGCTTGGCAGCCTCGGGGCACACATGTGTACTTTGGGTTCAGTCATCTGTAGGTTCACAGAGTTGGGACATGACGAGGACAGAGGCAGACGCACCTGGACCCCCAGACCACATTGAGGCCAAGTTAACAACAGGAGAGTTGTTACGGTCCCAAGGATTTTAGGGTCCTGCACTTCCTGCAGCTCCTGGAGGGCACCCCTCATGGGGGATGATGTACACGGACGCTCAGCAGCAATGCCATGAAAAGCAGCGTCACAGCCGCGCCAGAGCCTGGCTCAGGACATGCCCGCCGCGAGCAGCTGGGTCCCAGGGGTGAGGCCTGAGAAGATGGCGGATCCTTCTGTCTGAAAGAAGCCGGACACTGAAGGCCACACATTGTATGATTCTATCTATATGAAATGTCCCGAACAAGCAAATTCAGAGACAGAAAGCAGAATAGTGTGGCTTCAGGCTGGGGAAGGGGAGGGTGGGGAGGGACTGCTAATGGGGATGAGTGGGAGGTGTTGAGAATCTTCTGGCACTAGGTAGTGGTGACAGTTGCACAACATTGTGAGTGTCCTAAATGACACTGAGCTGTACATTTTAAAATGGCTAAAATGGTGAATCCTATGTAATTTTACCACAGAACCCCCCGCAAATCTCCCCAGGGAATTCTTGTGAACAGGCCAGGTGGGAGCCCCAGCTTGGAGGCTAGGAGAGGCTGTCGGGCCCTCCAGACCCCACATTGGTGGGGACCAGGGTCAGGAGCCAGGGACAGTGGCCCTGCCGGGCTGGGCACCCACCTGCTGCCCAGGGACTCCACCTCCGGTCTGGCCACTGACTCCTCCCTGCCGCTTCTGCCTGTGGCCGCCGTGGGTGGAGGAGGGTCACCATGAAGCCTGTTCGAAGATGCTTCCTTTTACTTTCAAACACTGGATGCAGTTTTCTTTTCCTTCACCCAGGTGGGAGTCCAGATTATAACCCGGGGCACCAGCCCCTCAATAGAGGGAGGGGACAGCAAGGCTTGTGGTCTCTACTCTGCAGAGGAGACCCCTGCTGTGGAGCGGCGGGGGTGCCCACAGGTGTCCAGCCTCTCGGAGGTGTGGACCGTCTGAACTTGGGTGCTGGGTGTGTCCGTTTCCTGCTGCCACTGTAACAAGTTACCAGGAAGCGGCAGCTGAATCAACACATTTATTCCCTGTAGTTCTGGAGGTTGGAAGTCCAGAGTCAGTCTCACGGTGCTAAAATCAGGTGTGGGTAGGGCTGGGTCCTTCTGGAGGCTCCAGTGGAGAATCCATCTCCTTACTTAACCTTCTCCAGCTGCTGGAGGCACCTGCATCCCTTGGTCACGGCCCCTCCCTCCACCTTCAGTGCGACCACTCCATCCACCCTCTGCTTCTGTCCTCACAGCTTCCTCCGACCCCTCCCAGGTCCCTGCAGTAACATTTAGGACCCACAGAGACCACCCAGGATCCTCACCCCATCTCAAGGTCTGGCCTTTGAGTCCCTTTTGCCATGCCAGGTGACACAGCCACTAGTTCTAGGATGAGGACAAGGACATCGATGGGAGCAACCATTCAGCCTGCCACGCTGGGTGTGTCATACATTTCCCACAGGAGGTTAACTGAAAAGTCCAGCATCTGGTTCCCTCTGCCTGGTGTTTATAAAGCCACCTTCTGAAGATCAGGCCAGGGCAGAAAGCTGCGGCCAAGGAGGGGCTGTAGGCTCAAGGACGCGGGGGTGACAGGGCCCTCCTCAGAACTGCGGTTCTCCACCTGGGGGCATGCGAGTGTTTCTTGGGGGAGCTTTATAGAAATCCTGGTGCCTGGCCCCCTAGACCTACTTCATCTGAAGCTCTGAGGGTGGGTTGACGGGCAGTGGAAGGGTCCTTCGGGTGCAGTGTAGCCAGGGTCCAGAACACTGCCTGGAAGCTTGGAATCAGGTGGAGGTGGAACCACAGACACAGATACTGGCGTCTGGCACACGGGCGTTTCAGGAGCAGGAGCCCTCTTCTTGTGGGTCCTCCTAAGGCTCCACAGAGTAGTTAGGGAGTGTTCCCACTGGTTCACAGGTGACCCTGTCAGGCCTGGATCACAAGAGCTAGTGAGTAGTGAGGTCACTGTTCAGTCCCTTGCCCTTTGGTCCTTGAGACCTGCTCTATCTGTCTTCCAGAACTTTCTAACGGGTGTGAGCACAAAGGTCTGCAGAGATGAGCCAAGGTCACTTTCCCAGGAAGTTTCCAACCTGTCAGGTGACCCAGACTCTGTGGGGAAGGAAAGGAGGGACCCTGGAATGTCCCTTGATGAAAGGGAGATGCCCCCACGGGCGGGTAGGGCACCAGGCCAAGTCCCATGTGCCACTGGAGCCGCTCGCCCACACAGTTGGGGCCCCACAGAGTGGAAAGGTCACACCAGCCTGAGATGCTGGCAGAGTGCATATCAAAGCCCCTCAGAGTTAAGAGGTTTTCCCCATTGAGTGGGATTTCACAGCCCAGTGGCCAATTTCTAAGTCATGCACATTAATGGGCCGATAATCAGGGACCGGGCGGGACAGGGAGGTGCCCCAGGCGCCCAGAGCCGAGATTAAGTAGTACAAAGCCAGGCCGCGGGTGAGGGCTCTGATCTTCTGTCTCACTGCTGCAGGGGTGGATGTGGGGACAGAGCCCTGCGAATTCCAGTGCCCTTGGTTGGGGCTACCCTCCCCCCAAAACCCTGCCTTCAGTCATTCCCTGGGCACCATCAGAGCCTGGGCAGGTGGGGAGGCAGCGTGTCACTGCTGGCTTCGCAATGACACACTCAGGGCTAAATCCTCGTCCCGTCCCTTGCCAGTGGTCACGTTTTTGAGCCACTTGCTGTAAGGCCCGGGTCACAGTGGCCACTGCTTACATGGTGACAGCAGAACTGCAGCTGGAGTCACGGCCCAGATCCTTTCCCATTGGCGCCTGCAGACAGGCTGGCCACGCAGCAAGTAGAGCCCGCAAAGTATAACCACAAGGAGGTGGCACAGTCAGGGGTTGAGACCTTCGGAAATCACAGGAGGAAAGCCTCTGGGGCTGATCTAGTCAGATATAGACTGGTGGAGTGAGGCATTGAAGGTGTGGAACTGAAAGTAGTTCTCACAAGGGCCCCAGAACAGCAGCATCAGCGTCACCTGGGAGCTGTCAGAAATGCGGGTGGTTAGGTCCCCAGAACCACTGAATCCTAAATGCTGGGGACGGACCTCACAATCTATTTTACCATGCTCTCTGGGGGATTCTAGCCTGGGTACCAGGAATAAGCAAGTTCACCTCTGAATTGAAGGTCTGACCTTCACAGGCTTGCATCTTCCAGAACAGTACTGTTTCCAATACATTCTGCTGTCTTAGCTGACTTTCAGGTTAGGGAGATGGTATCTGTCTATTCAAAGTGTGGTCCGGGGCACCTGCCTCTCTGGAGTTTGTGAGAAATGTGGACTCTCGGCTCCACCCTAGGTGGGACGAATCAGCATCTACATTTTAACAAGATCCTCAGGTGATTCATGGGCTCGTTCGTTTGGTGAAGCTCCTGCTGAGGGCCTGGGCCTTTCCATGCCTGTGTCTACAGCCCACGAGAGGAGGGCATATAGACCCCCTTTTGCAGATGGGAAACTAGGCTTGGCGCCCCTAGCAGGTGACAGGTGCCAAGCTTCAGACTCCTTCCACGCCCCCTCCCTTAGGCCAGGGGTGAGGGACCTGTGAGACATCCTGGGAGGAGGCGTTTGAGAAATGGGCCCCAGGTCACTGCACTGAAATCAGTGCAGCCTCCCCCCCCATCTCTCCCAGCTGAGCTCCCTCTAACTCTCCAGGCAGCTGGGAAAGCCCCGCCCCTGGGAGTCTTAAGACTCCTTTCCTCGGGCCAGAAGACTCAGAAGCTGCAAATTCTTTGGACAGATGGCCCTGACCTCTTGCCCCTGTCCCCCTAAGTTTTGGGACATGACCCCAACACATGCTCACTAGGGCTCCTGTAATTCATGACTCATTGGCTTACCCAGGCAGAGCTAGAACCTTCCTCCTCTCCCAGCCCTCTGGAGTGAGCCTGAGTCCTGTCCCTGATGGCCGGGGACCATCTGTCACACTGAAGATTGGACTTGGTGGTAAGGACTGGGGGCTGGAGCACCATCAGTGCAGAAGCTGGGGTGGAGGTGTGGGGTGGGTGGGAACAGTGATGAGGGGAAGGAGGTGGAGGGGTTGGAAGAGAAGTGGGGAGGGAGGCCCAGGTGCCCTTGGGTTGAGTGGGAGGGTAGGAGGGCCCATAGACAGGGGTAGAAGCTGGAGGGGCAACAGTTGAGGGGGAGGAGGTGAGGACCAGAAGTTCTGGGGCATGTGGGTGTGGACTGCTTTGGGAAGGGGGAGCAGAGGCTGGGAAGAGAGGGATCGAGGCTTGGGGTGGTTGGGACAGATGCCTTGGCTCTGGCTGAACTGGGAAGAGACCTGTCACAGCTCCAGAAGGATACCGGGAGCTGGGAAGACAGTGCCAAGACTGTCCCCTCTCTCCACCCCTCTGCTATTTTCCAGCCATGGACAGAAAGGTTTTGGAAAAGCCAGTTCCGGAGGCCGCCAGCCCCGGCCTGTCCTCGCTGGGCGCAGTCTTCATTCTCCTAAAGTCCGCACTCGGGGCCGGCCTGCTCAACTTCCCGTGGGCCTTCCACCAGGCGGGTGGGGTGGCCCCCGCTTTTCTAGTGGAGCTGGTAAGCCCCTGGGGAGCATTCTGAGAAGGTCTCCTGGAGCAGATGGGAGCTGAGTTTAATGTTTCCAGGCGGGGTCCTAGGCGTTGCTTCTGCAGAGCTGCCTGTCTTCGAAATTATTCCTGTGGGATTTGATTTTTCCGTCCCACTCAGCTCACGAAGGGAGAAGGGAATCCTCTTGTAGACCCAGGCTGAGAGCATCCTCCATGCAGCCGGGCGACGGGGAGGTAGAGGCGCGGCAGAGCCCGTCTGCACGCACATCTGCATTGGATCACCCTGGCCTTTCAGCTGGAAAGGCGTCATCTCTGAGCCACCAGCTAACCTCTCTTGCCTGTGGTCTCAGCTCCACAACAAAAGCCCAAATCCTGTGCGCAGATCAGATCAGGACTGAGGCTGCCGTGACACCCCACCCTGAGCTGAGCCAGGCCCTGTGTGGTGTCAGTGGTGTCTGGCCACTTTTGCTTGCTGCATGCAGAGCGTGCCTTCCCTTCCCAGGAAGTCTGGGGGCTGAGCATCCTCAGCAGGAAAGAGCTGCTCGTTAGCACAGCTTCTTTTTTTGTTTTTTATTCTTTTCCTTGAGCTGATAGGAGTTGGGCATGTTGTGGTGAGCTCTCTGACAGGCATTATCTCAGATGCTTTTTTTATGGCAGCCAGCTGATAATGGCCTCACTCTACTCATATGTGGGCCCACAGGGCTTTTCTCGTCCTGGAAACTGCCAGATGCTGCCCTGCATAGCATCCAGTGTAACCCAGCAGAGCGCCTGGCTTGTGTCGGATGGTTAAGACAGTGTGGTCTCCGTCCCTGTGAAGCTTGTTGTAAGCGGTCACTTGGATAGGATACAAGAGGTCCATTGAGATAGTCTGAGGTGGTGGGCAGGGCTGGGAGGGTCGTGGGACGGTGGGATAACACCCATGGAGGGTCAGAGAAGGCCCCTCTGAGGAGGTGGTCGGTGAGCCTCAGTGAGGGTGGTAGGATGTGTCCAAGGGCACGTGAGGGGCATGTGCAGCAGAAAAGCTGCCCTTCCAGGGCCTGGGAGAAGCCCGATCTCTAGCCATGTAGGGTCAGCAATAGAGCAGGTCGGGCTTTCGTGGGGGTCTGTGGTCAGGCATAGACATGGCCATTCCGAGGGTGGCAGGCAGGGCAGTGAGGCCGGGATGTGGCTCCCTGCTCCCCAGGCTCTGTGCAGGGTACCTTGTGGGAACGCAGATGTGGACTCAGCCGGTCTGGGTGGGCCTGACAGCATGCGTTTCTGAGGGGTTCCGGGGGTACACGGGTGCTACTGTGGTGGCATGCTCTTCGTGTAGGGGTCTAAAGGTCCTGCTTGAGCAGGCAGGCTTGAAGAGACCCCAAATAGAAATAAATGGAAACTCCCAGCAAGGGAGAAAAATTAGCCTGGTAATCAGCACCCCCCACCCTCCAGGTCCTGACTCTCCCATCCTCTTAGCCAGTGAGACTTCTGTCCCCTTTTACAAGGCCACACTTGGGCAGGAGGAGTGCTTAAATACCGCCACCACTGGGAGCTCAGTGGTGTGAGGTTTTAGGTCTCTAATGGCCCCATTAGCAGTGGAGGTTTAATGAAATTACTGAGCCTGCACCCTCCTCGGCTCCAGAGAGAGGCGGGGCCTGGCCGGGGGGCCATAAGGGCTCTTTGCCAACTGGCTGCTCAGAGGCTCAGGGTCCCTCTTGCAAGTCACCTGCCCCCATGTGGACAGCTAGTTGTATTAGAGACACGCATTCACCAGCAGAGGCTCAGCCTGATCCCCTCTTCCCTTCCGTTTGTCCACAATGTCTCCCAAGCCCCTGCTGTGTACTGGGTGCTTTTCTGGGGCTGAATGGTAAGCGAAAAAGACATGATCCCAGCCTTCATGGAGCTTAGAGTCTGGTGGATGAGAGATGGAGACCCCCATACTATATGCACAGTTGTAAGTATGTGTCTTCAGGCTGCTGGAACCAAGGACCACAAACTGGGCAGCTTAAAACAACAGAAATGTAGCTGCTCACAGCCCTGGAGACCAGAAGTCTGAATCAAGGTGTCAGCAGTGCTGTGCCCCCTCCAAAGGCTCTAGGGGAGGGTCGTTCCTGCCTCTTCAGCTTCTGGGGAGCTCCAGGCGTCCTTGGCTTGTGGCCACATCCCTCCGGTCTCTGCTCCATCATCATATGAGCATCTCTTCTGTGTCACTTCATTTTCTGTCTCTCGTAAGGACACTTGTCATTGGATTTAGGGCCCACTTAGATAATCCAGAATGACCTCACCTCAGGATCCTTAATGATACCTGCAGAAACGTCTTTTCATTTAATTACATCTTCACTATTTATATCTGCAAAGATGGTGGCCACTAAGTCAGTTTTACAGGTTCTGGAGATTAGGGTGTGGGAAAAAAGCATGCCTCCAAAAGGCATGGTTCTTTCAGAGCCTGATATGGAGGGTTGAGCTCACTCTGGGGGTGAAGTGTGGGGAGGTTTCCTGGAGGAGGTGACCTTGGAGAGGAGGGAGGAAGAGTAGGAGTTCCCCAGGGGAGGGGCAGTGGTGGAGGAGGGAGGCTGTTCCAGGCAGTGGAACTGGCACTGGGAAGGGTCAGCAGCTGGAGGGAGCACGCTTGCCCCTCCTGACCTTGAACCTTCAAGTTCCTCTCACGAGGTCCAGTTAGATGTTCAGTGTACAAAACCAGAAAAATATCACAGTAGAGTTTTTTCTGAGCCCAGGAAGGAGGCAGAACATGACTGGGAAGGGTCAGGAGGGAACTATGGGGATGTGGTGATGTTCTGTTCTTGATGGAGTTTGGGTTGCACATGTACATTGGGTTGTACCCCTTCCAGTGTCCACTTAGATGCACTTAAGTTTTTGTGCATTTCATTGTGTGTAAATTTTACCTTACGAGAGAGAAGGACTGTAAACAAATATCAAGCTCTAATCAATGATGCACACACCAAAGTATTTGGGGGGAAGTATACTAATATCTGTAGCTTGCTCTGAAATGGACCCCCAAGTTTAAACAGATTCATGGACTCACAGATGCCTGGTGGAGATGCCAGAAGGCAGGCACAGTGCCCTGCTCCTAATAGAATCCTGTTCACTGTAAAGTTCTTCCCACCTTTCCCAGATGTTTGAAAATTTTTCGTAGTGTTGGGAAAATTTACGCTGAAGTCAAGAGAGCCCTGAGAGGGAGGGTGTCTGGAGAACAGGAACGACAATCACTCCTTGAGCACTTGTCACGGGCCAAGCACTGAGCTGAGTGTGTTGTGTGATTATTTAGTCCAAAGGCATCACATCCCCCCATAAGGTATATGGCGTCATCTCCATTTCACAGATGGGAGGACAGAGGTTGGTGGTCGGCCCAGAGCAGGTGAGTGTCACAGTTAGAATTGAACCCAGGTATGCTTGCTTCTGTCCCACTGCATGTTATGATCTCTATACCCACAACATAAGTGATCTTAGGGGAGGAATTTAAACTCTGGGTTTTTGCTGCCCTGTTTGTCCACCTGCTGTGGAATGATGCAAATCCGATTCAGACTTACAGCCAGTGTGGTCTCCAGGATTCACCTCTCTGCAGCTGTGGTTTGAGGGGAGAGGGCTGGCGGTTTGTCAGGTGGAGGTCCAGTGGAAGTGGCATCAGCATCAGGGCGGTGGGCTTGGAGGGTGGCTCTAGGCTCACCTGGCCTCACATCCTGCCCTGCAGGTCTCCCTGGTGTTCCTAATTAGCGGACTGGTTATCCTGGGCTATGCTGCCTCTGTCAGTGGCCAGGCCACCTACCAGGGCGTGGTTGGAGGGCTGTGCGGACCCGCCATCGGCAAGCTGTGTGAGGCCTGCTTCATTGTCAACCTGCTCATGATCTCTGTGGCCTTCCTTAGGGTGATTGGGGATCAGCTGGAGAAATGTAAGTACCTGCGTGGAGTCGGGGGTGGTCCCAGGGTGTGGAGCTCGGGACCCCTGGGCTCCTGGTGGATGAGCAGGACGTGGACACTGGTCTGGACCCTTGGCGATCAACGGAGACCAAGGCCACCCCCCAATCCCCAGCATCAAATGTTATCATGGGGAAGGGAGACCCGGGACTAATAATTCCTAACACGATGAGCGTCATGGAGAGAGAGGCCCGTGCTGGGATGCCCAGTGAGGACAACTCGTTTTACAGATGGGGGAGTGGAGCCAACTGCAAAGAAGCCCCTGTGAGAGAGAACCAGTAACACCTTGAATTGTGGCATGTCAAAGACTCTCAGCCCCACGTACCCTTGGCCTCCAGTCCCCCACTAACAGTGTCCCTCTAAGCGCTGCTTTGGCTGCATTTCATTGATTTCAATATGTTCTATTTTCATTCCATTCAAAACCTTTGCTGAGTTTTGCTCTGATTCCTTTGACTCATGGGATGTTGAGAATTGTGTGATTCAGTTTCCAGTTACTGGGGAGTTTTCTAGATCACTTTTTGATTTTTACCTTAATTGCATCGTGGGCAGAGAACACATCTGTGCAACTTCAGTCTTGTGGCATTTGAGACTTGCTGTATGCCCCAGAACGTGATCTGTCTTGGTAAGCGTTCCACATACTCGTAAAGGATATGTAGTCTGGCTGCTGGGTGCAGTGTTCTAGAACTCCCCATTAGGTCAAGGTGGTCCACAGCTTTGATCAGATCTTCCATAGCTTTGCTGATTTTGGTGGGGCAAGTGGGGGTAGCTACTCTGTCAGGTTATAAGAGAAGAAGTGTTAAAATCTCCAACTGTGGTTGTGGATTTGTCTCTTTTTCCCTATAATCATGTCCTTTTTTTTTTTGCCTCATTGTTTTTGAAGCTCTGTCATTAAGCACACTCTTGAATTGCCCTTTTGTTATGAAATATCCCTTTTTGTTTCCAATAATACTTTGTCATTATATACACCTTCTCTGCTATGAATATAGCCTCTCCAGCTGCCTTAAGATTAGTGTTTGCACAGTATTTCTCTTCCCACTCTTTTACTGTGAACCAAGCTGTGGCTGGGAATTTTAAAATGCATCTCTTGTCGACAGCATATGGTTGGATCTTGCTTTTTTATCATCTTGACAGTCTCAGGTTTTAATTGGAAATGTTTAGACTTTTACTTGGAATGTAATTACTGATACGGTTGGGTCTCCATCTACCATTTTGCCATTTGTTTTGTCTGTTCTGTCTTTGAACTGTGAGAAAAGGTCCCTGGAGCTAGGATATTGAAATGAAAGGCTTCCATGTTCTGGAAGCATTTGTATCCCAAAAAGCATCACAGTTGGTAAATTTGAACAAAAATGCCCTACCTGCCAGTGGCAGGTAGAGGTCATGTCACGTTTCAGTTCTGGTCAGCTGGTGGTGCTGCTGTATTGAGAAGGATTCTGAGGCGCTACAGTGTTGAGAGGGATTCCGGCTCAGTAGTAGATCACCTGGAGGGGTTAGAGCTTTGATGAGGACACAGGCCACCCTGGCTCTGGGTAGATTGACTGGGATGGGGAGACCATCATTTGTGTTTCTGATTAGATATTTGGGGATGTCTCTTTCTGAAGGCAAGTCCAGGCTTCTAGGAAGGAAGACTAAATAGAGGTTGGGGTGTTTGGGGGAGTCATCGCCTGCATTGGGTACAAATGACTGTAAGAGACTGGTGCCGAGGACACCAAGGAACGGCCTGAAAAGTGAGGGCTCAGGAAGGAGCCGGTGTAGCTCAGATGGCAGAGCTGGGCTTCTTGGCTGCAGGAGACCGGGATGGGTAAGAAGGGCTCGCACCTCATCCCAGGTTGCACGGGGCCTGATGCTCACTGAGGTCTCTGTGCTCCTTCAAATGCATGCATTTCCTTGGTCTCTCTGGCCTGGCATGCCCGCCTCCCCTCTCACAGGGCCACCTCTGTGCAGTGACCTTGATGTGGAGCTGTCCCCTATCTCACTCCAGTAGACATAAGCCATTCTGATCAGGCATTTATTACTTTGCACAGCTGGCTTTATCGAGCACGTGGTGAGAACAGAAAAGGGTTACGTTACAGCAGTGCACCTCAAGGTGGGCCAGAAACCGGCTCTCAGGCCCCCCAGGGGGCTGCGGGGCTGCCTCCCCTCACATGCTTCCAGCCTCAAGCCATCTTGCTGCCTCCCCTTTGCTCTCCACCCCCATCTGTCTTGCCTCTTACATCAACTCCAAATTCTCCGTCTTGCTGTGGTAAAAGGAAAAAGGTCCCTGATTCTTGGATACTCCTTCTGTTGAGAGATTGATGGGGTCTGTGCTCCGTCCCCTTGAATTGTAGTAGACTCGGCCCGGCAAAAGGAGGCAGGTGGGACACTGCCAGTTCCAGGCCTGGCCTTCAAGGGGACAGCAGCTTCCACCTTGGTCTCAGGAGCCCCAGCGGCCATGGACTAGCCTGCTGGAGGGTCTGCATGGAGAGACCCCCAAGACTGCAGGGATGGCCCCTCTGAGCCCAGGTGCACCCCCTGCCCAGGCACCCCGGGTGGGTGGAGCGCTCAAGGACCCTCCAACGTCCCATGCCCAGCCAAATACCCCCACAGGGGTGTGGAGCAGAAGGTGGCCAGCTCAGCCCTGCCCTCATTCTTTTACTCCAGTTCCTGCTGTGTAATAAAGGGGTTGCTCTAGGCCACTGTTTTGGGGAAGTTTGTCATGAAACAGTGACAGAGGACCGCAGTAGTGATGCTCTCCCCTGCATCGGCGCTAATAAACCACTCCAGGCACCAGCTCAACCCCAGAGACCCATGAAACTCTTGAGCAAACAAAAAGGATCTTCTACGAGAACACAAGGTGCCTCAAGGGCAGACCACTCTGTCTTTGGCTGCTGATTTCAGGACTTAGAGCAGCGCCTGCCTGTCGGAAAGAGCTTGGTGAATATCTGGTGAATGAATTCGTGTAGCGTGTTCCTTCTGTCCCTGTGGCACATGACAAGGTCCCCATCACACTTATTACCCCATCCCTTTGGGATCACAGTGCTAACTTGGCGCCATGGCGAACACCTCCCCCCAGCCTCTGACCCCGGGGACCCAGAGCTGGAAACCCCGCAGCTCTCCCGCTGTGGGTGGCCAGCGCAGGGCTCCCTGTATCTCCTCCCGTCTCTTCTACAGTGTGTGACTTCCTCCTGCCTGGTGCCCTGCCAGCCCCGCAGCCCTGGTACACTGACCAGCGCTTCACTCTGACACTGCTCTCCGGGCTGGTCATCCTGCCCCTGTCTGTCCCACGCGAGATCGGGTTCCAGAAATACACGAGGTATGGACTGTAGACCATTTCTGACAGGGCAGTGGCTCTGACTGGGTCCCCACCTGTGCAGCATTTGGCGGGTGGTTGCTGTCGACCCGAGATAGAGGAACTGCCAGCATTGGCACTCCCATTTGGAGAAGGGGAAATTTTTTAAAATTATACAAATCACAGGTGTGCATGATAGAAAATATAGGTAAGCAAAAAAGAAAACAACCCAAAATGACATGACTGTTGCAGCTGATGTTTTGTTCTTTAATGATTACAAACTTCTTCTGTGCACACAAGCTCAGAGAGAGAAATGGAGACACACACATACACACACACTTTTTTTCTGAGGGGGAGGTAATTAGGTTTCTTCATTGATTTACGCTTGGAGGAGGTACTGGGGATTGAACCTGGGACCTCTTGGATAGAGCATGTGCTCTACCACTTGAGCTATACCCTTCCCCCACAACACACTTTTTTCATTTGCTGGCCTGAGGGTCTACATATACTTTCAAAAAAGTCAACTCTGGCAAAAGTACTCACACGAGTGCGCAAGCCACCTTTCCCTGTCGTGTAGCGAAATGGAGCAGAGAAATGCTGGGTGGCACACCTGAGCCCCCAGGCACCCCCAAGCCATCGCCAGCCTGTTTTATCACATCCAGCCAAGCCAGGGCCCTCCTTTCTGCTGGGTTGTGGCCGAGTGGACAGTGTCCTGACTTAGATGCTGAATCTGAGCGGCTGTGTGGCTGTCCTTGGAGAGACCAAGACACCAGTAGGGATCACAGCCTCACAGATGCCGGCAAGTTCGGAGCTTGACAGATCAGACCCCTGGGCCTGAGTGCGGCCCTGCCTGCCTGGAATGGGTCATCCTGCTGCCCCCATTATACAGATCAGGAGACTGAGGCTCAGAGAGTGAGAACTTAGTCCAACACCTTGCTAGTGTGGGCAGAGCTGGCATTCATATCTCATTCTGTGTGGCTCACAGGCCCTCCCTGGTGGCACCGGTGGCACCACGGAGTCCTCCTAACACTGGTATCCTCTGTGTGTTAGCATCCTAGGCACCCTGGCCGCCTGTTACCTGGCCCTGGTCATCGTGGCGCAATACTACCTCAGGCCCCAAGACCTCGCTGGAGAGCCCCACCTGGCCTCGAGGTAAGTCTAGGCTTTCCATGGCTTTCCAGGGCTGTTAGGAGGGGCTCCTTGGAGGAGGGACACTTCTCCCCTCCATGGTTTGCACAGACAGCCCTGCTCCTCCCATGAAATCCTTCAAGTCTCTGATGCCACACAGCCCAGCAAAACAAAGGCTCTTCTTCAGAATGACACAACTATTGCCAGTGAGGACGGGGGACAGGCTAGGGGACACGGAAGCATTAAACACCACACCAGCCCAGGGCTCCTCAGCTGCTTCACACGTGCCCCCCACTGCATAGAGGCAGCAGAACCAGCCTGCAAGACACAAGTGCTAGGGCAGAGGGACAGGGATGCACAGAGGCCAGTGTGGCCCGACCACCTGAGCGAGGCCAAGAGTGGGAGCGGGTAGGGGGGTCCCGTCGGTGTGGCAGGATTTTCCAGGGAAGCCTCTACAGGACTTTGATCACAGCAGGGGCTTGAAATCAAGCCAGCTCCCTGGGCCTGGGACCTATGACCTCACCCAAGGCCTCGCACTCAGAAGGGCCCCACACTGGGATTAATGCCCTGTTGTTGCCATTCTGAAATTTTTTTTAATTGAAGTACAGTCAGTGTCTGGTGTATAACACCGTGTCTCAGTCATGCATATACATACATCTGTTCATTTTCATTAAAGGTTATTACAAGATATTGGGCATAGTTCCCTGTGCCATACAAAAGAAACTTTTCAAAATCTATTTTGTATATACTGGCTAACGTTTGTAAATCTCAAACTTAC